ACGCAGGTATATGCACTTATAATCCCATGTGGAGGCTGAAAGTTGACATTGGGTGTCTTTCAATTGTTTTCCATTTTATTTACTGAGAGGGTCTCTCACTGAACTTGAAGTTCATGCATTGGCTTGGCTGGCTGGCCAGTGAGCTCCAGGGATTCTTCTGTTTCCAGCTCCCCAGGGCTGGCGTTACAGATGGGCCAACCATTGACCTGGGTGCTGGGGGTCCAAAATTGAGTCCTCATGAGCTGACTGAGCTATCTCCCCAGCCTCTAAAATTTTAAATGACAACCTCATATTCAAATCACAAGCATAGTTTTTCATTTGTTCCTAAAATAGTTTGTAATTAGATATTTTAATATGATCCATGGTTGTCTGTATGAAAGTACACCTTAATTTTGGTAATTCTGGGTTTATTTTTGCCAACTTATCTATCCAGTGCAATTATTGCTTTATTTTTGAGAGGGCCTGTTAGAATTGCTTGATTTTAGATCTTATGAACTAGATTGTATAACAAAAGATAAATCTATTTTTTTTAAAGGTGTCACATGCCAAAAAGTCCATGGTAGGATTCAACAAAGTTACGTATTTATGTTTGGATTTTTATTTTATGTTATTAGTCATTAATCCTGCAATCTTCTTAAAGATGGCAGTACTTCTCTGTATTTTTTACTGGGTAAAATCTGTGTTAAAATACACTAGTAGTGTTATAACTCCAACCGTTAATCGGGAACAGACAAAAACCATTTTTTCCCCCCGTAACACCACCATAGGTGTTAAAATTCAGTAGTAGAGCAAGGGAAAGATTGTTCTTTTGAAATTTATTGTTTGATTTTTTTGTGTATGAATGTATTGCCTGTTCTCTCTACCCCAGGAAATATTTTCTTAATATTCTTGATCTTTCAGAATTTCATACAGTTCATTTTGATCATATTCAATCTCCCTCCCATATCTCCTCTCAGATCCATCCCCACTTCCCCACTTCATGTCTGTCCCCCCCAACCACCCTTTTTTTAAAGCCCATAGAGCCCTATTTGTGGTGCCCAAATACTCTTAGGTGTGGCTCTGGAGTGTGTAGTTAACCAGCAGGAATTACACCCTCAAAAACTAAATCTCCATCTCCCAATAAGCTGTCAAATGCCATAGTTCCTAAGTGGTTCATGTCCACTTCTCCCTCCATGCTGGGATTTTGTCTGACTTGAGCTTGAGCAGGTCTTATGTATGCTGTCACAACCACTGTGAATTCGTATGTGCAACTCCCTGTTGTATCCAGAAAATAGTTTCCTTGTAGTCATTTACTACCTCTGGCTCTTACAGACTTTCTGCCCCCTCTTCCTCTAGAATCTGAGTCTTGGGGGGGGGGTTGTGATATAGATGTTCTGTTTAGGGCTGCATACTCTGCAGTGTCTTATTTGCACCTTGACCAGTTATGGGTCTCTGTGTTAACTGCCATCTACTTCAAAAGACCCTACTACTGTTCTCCAAGTATTAAACTGACTCCCAGTGACTTACTATACCCGCAGATGAGTGCGTCTCTGAGTCATCAGGAACAGTGATTTTAAGGGAATGAAGAGGCAAGTAGTTTGGCCCAAATTTCTTAAATGCAGTCTATGAATGAAAATTGTGGCAGCATTTTTCAAGTGATATTCACTCCAGCTTTGGAAAAAGTGGGCGATACGCTGTTTATCTATAGCATTTATCTAAATGAAACCAGTCAGTGCATCCAGCTTTGTGTTCCAGGTGCTTTTGATGTCATCAAAATTCCATTTCAGAACTCTGGAAGTTAGGAAGATGGTCAGCATCATCTTCTCAGTGTTCACTTGCTCTCTATTTTGCTCTCTTTCACTCTCACTTAAGTGAATATTCAGGTGGAAGGCAAAACTTCATAGCATTTGGAGGGAAGGCTGGATGGTGCACTTGTGATGTCAGGCCTGTAGCATGGCTTTCCAGTTTGGTGAGCAAAGGACTGCCACTATCAGTGTATCTTATGACTTTCCATATCTGTGGCAGTCACCATCTTTCCAAGCAGTATTGCCAAGAAATAGGAACAGATTTTTCTCTACCACACAGACATTTTCTGACTTTACAGAGAGCTTATTTGAACTTGATGGGAGAGGATATATGTGCATTGACTCTAATGTGAACATTCTGGAGGAATTTGGTGTCCCTTTATACAGGTTACTTTTAACCTGGCAGAACATTTTTATGAAGATCCATTTTGGTTGTACGTACCTTGGTGAGTCAAGGTTTTTAGCACTTGTTTCCTCGGGAAAAAGCACAGTTGATTATCACAGATGAAATGTGTGTTGTAATGACAAAGGCCAGATCACAGTTTTAACTAGTCTAAGCCAGATCTCACTAAGGTGTACTACTGAGCAGTTAGAATTTTAAGAAATTGTTCTCTGTTTGGGAAGCATCTGTTTTCACTCATGAAAAATAATTGTGTAAGGGAGGTGTAATCCCTTGTAATTGTTGATTTTCACATATTGTTTATGTTTGGGAAAGCAGTTTCTAGTACAGTTCTGTACCTTTCTGGAGGATGATGTCTTTAGTCAGAATCTCAGAGTAGTCTTTGGCTGTCCTCAAAAGTTAACACTATTGATTTAGCAAGTGTGGAGACAGTGGAATGTGAATCTTTGCAAAGGAATGACAGGAAATTAGAAAGTTAAAGTGAAGAATATGAGAAGAAAAGCTTTGGCAGGGATGCAGGATGATTTAGGGCTTCCAGTAGGCAGTGGGGTCTGAGTCATCCTAACAATGGGAAAGTGATTTCTATAGTCCTTCTCAAATGCAGGAACCTTATGTTATCTTTTTTGTTGTTTGTGTCTGAGCACAGTTCCTAAGACAATGCCCATTCAAAAATGTTGAATTAAATTGAGACCAAGGCTGGCAAGACAGCTCAACAGATAAAGGCACTTGCTACTAAGCCTGAGAACCTGAGCTTGATCCTTTGAACCCACGTGGTATCAGGAGAGAACCAACCCCCACACTCTGACCCTTGGATGTACACTGGCACAAACACATACGATAAATAAATTAATTTAAAAAACACAACTGATAAATAACTAAATGTAAAAATTTAAAGAAAAAATTTTGGGGAATCACTATGATCATGAAAGCTATATTGTAGCATAAATAGTATATGATCTCTCATCTATATTTAATCCTATTGTGTTAAAGCATTTGGTGAATAGTAAAATTTTTAAAGAGAGGTTTTAGAGGTGGGAAGATGGCTCAGTAATTAAGAGCACTGGCTACTCTTGCAGAGGACCTCAGTTTGGTTCCCAGCACCCACATGGTTGCTAACATCCATCTATGTAACTCCAGTTCCAGGGAATCTGATGCTCTCTTCTGGTCTCCACGGGCATTGCATGTATGTGGTGCACTTACATGTAGGCAGAACACTCACACCCATTAAAATAAATATTTTAAAAAGAGAGAATGCTTTCTGAAAAAGCACCTACAGCCCTCATTTTGTTCAGGAAGGTAGTTCACGCAAATGTTTGGCTTCTTAGGTTTAAGTTTTATTTCCAATACTATTTTTATTAAAGCTGTGCCTCTAGGCATGGTAATTCTAACCAGTACCTTCAGAAGGCAGGAAACTTACAGGATGATAGATTAATTAGGTCATCTATTTAAGCGACAGTCCAATAAACCTGTAATCTTTGATTTGCGTATCATTGAATAAAAATCAGTCTGACGACATTGAGGTCACATTGGCTTAAAATATCTTTGGAGCTTTTATTACATTGGATTTTCTATAATATAATAACAAAGCCCTGACATACTTCCCTAATTATTTTATTATCTTTTTTATAGTTTCCTGTATAATTTTACAAAAACATTCCCTCAGGAGGTAGTAAAGATTTAAATGCATTATAATTGAAAGACCAGGATGGATGGTAAGATTAGACTCTAGTTCATTGAAATATTTTACTTTTTCTTGAATTGAATCCTTTCAGATAATTACTGAAACTGTAAAACACTGATAAATAAAATATTTGATCCAAAAGTATGGTATATTTTTCTGTTTTTAGTAAACTGTTCCCAAGTCTGCGGAAATTACAAGTTAAATTACCTGTCAAAAGTCCAGAAAGCTGTTTTTTTTTTTATTTCCCCCCCTCGAGTAGAAATGATTAATGGAGTAAAATAAGGTATAGTTTTTAAAAAGACATTGGCTTTGATTAACTGTTTTGAGTTTCAGGGATAAAGTACTCTGTAATATTGCAATCTGCACAGAACTTTTAGGAATGATAAACTACTTCAGTGAACTATCTATTCTTTAAAATCTCTCTATGCCTACCACTTTCTTCTGCTATGTAATTTTATTTTCATAGATGTGTAAATGAAATAAAAATCATAACTTTTTCTATAAAAGGGAATACACTTATTGTATAAAATTTGGAAGTCATAAATTATAGAAAGTAAAGATTGTATGCAGCCTCACTAGCTAGAGATAACCACTTAGCAGACTACATTTTTCTCCGTTATTTTATAAGTGTGTTGTGTGCTTACACACACAAGCACACACCCACACAACCCCAGTGAGATGAAATGGATTATTTTCATTGACCACTTTTCCATGTTGTTAGGCATTATTCCACAGCAAGTTAGTTTGCACTGTAAGATATACTTTATTGTTGGATATGGGAAATTTCTACCCCCCCCCCCAAATGTTGCACTCAACATTTTGCTTTAAATTTTATTGCCATTCCTAGTTATTCCCCAGGGGAAAGTTTTCCAAACTATGACTTCTGGGTTACTAAGGAACCCAACGACTCTGCGGGGTCACGGGGCTCTGCTGGGTCCCAGGGGTCTGCTCGGTCCCTGGGCTTTGCCCGGCTCGCTGCAGTTCTGTCCGCCGGCTCCGGCCTCCCGGTGCAGATCCTCCTGCGGGGTGCGGGGTGCGGGCGTCCGGGCTGGGCTGCGCTCTTCCTTTCCCGCGCGTCGCTAACTGGCCTGTCTTTGTCTTTCCTCCCTGGGGTCCGCTGCCCGCGCGGCTGAAGCCTGGCGAAGCCGTCGCCCCGCAGCGCCGCCCTCCTGCGCCCGCCCGCTGGCCCACTCAGCACGCGCCAGGCCGCCGCCAGCTGCCGCGCCAAACTCCGTGGGGCCGCCAGGGAGCGCCAGCACGCGGCGCGCGGCCTCGGCAAACCGGCTGACCCATAGCTGCCCGCCGAGCCGCCCCGGCCTGCAGAGCCCGCGCCCTCGCCCGCCAGCGCCTCGCAGTCCCAGCGCTCTTGCAGAACCCTCTCCAGGCCCCGCAGCCCGGCCAGCCATTGCCACTAGCAGCGCGTCTCTCCACCCCACCTGCCCGGACCCCGGCTTCTTGGAGAATCTCATCACTGGACACCACTCCTTTGCAGTATTTCTTGTATAGACTTCCTGTCCCCAGGCTGATTTATTTTTATCATTGGTTCTTCAACGATAGCCCCTTCTTCAGCTTTAACTGTCCACATTCTCTGTGACTGTAGGGTAGATTGACGGAGTCCAGAGTTGTAGCGTGCACAGCTGCAGCTGAACTCGAACTTAAACATCCAGCCCTCTCCTTCCTGTAGCTCCATCTCCAATAACTATTTCTAGACTTTGCCAGCTGTTCCTGTTAGAAACCGGAACCCCTGGTATCTTGTCCATGGTGGTCATAGGAATTCGCCTCTCAAATCTGCTTCAGGGAGGCCTGATAGAGGGCCAGGGGCTCTGCCACTGGGTTTGCATTTGATCCTGCTTCGCCTGGGCTGTTTCCAGCGACTGGTCATAGCCAAGGTATTGATGATGGCCCATTCATGTAAGATACTTTCCTAAAATGAGCAATGTTAGCTTGGGGATCCCTCAACAAACACCTGACTGAAGCTTTCTCAGATCTACTCAGTTCAGCCTGCACCTCTTTTGCTCAGTCCTTTCAAAGACAAACTCACCCTGTGATGTGAAAGCTCTTCTTTCTTCTCTTTGTTCCCTTTATCTCTCTCAGGTGTCCCCCTCAATACACCTCTTGCCCAGCAAGCCTTGTCCTGGCTTCTGCTTCTAGGACCTGAACTAATACATGTCAGACATTCCACTTTCTGTTCCTTACCTCTCTATCTGAGTTATTTGTTCACAGACAGCCAGTTCATTAACCTCAGTTTTTCCACTGTTGATCAGCTCTTGTCTTAGTCTTTGTCTAGCCTGGATTCCATGGCCCATTACCACAGTCACTCTCCCTGAAATTCAGCTCTCTCAGCACTCTTGAACCTTGGTTTCTTCCAAGTTATTTTCCTAGCAAAGCATCCAACCCTGAATACACTTACCAGCTCTCTTGTACCGGCCTGACTAGAACAACCGAACATTGTCTTTCAGAAAAATCACAGAATCCAGCCACCTAGTTTGACTAATCAATACATTATTGCGAATCTTGAATTGGGGGTTTCTATGGGAGACAAAATTTTTCCTTTAAGAACTACTGTTTATTTGCTTTTATCTCCTTAGAAGGCTCCGATCCCCTCCCCCCTGTTTATTTCATGTTTCCTTGAGAAACAGAAGTGATTATATACAACTTCCTCATCTTCCCACTACAAAAGACTGCCAAGTCAGTGTGGGAATGTTCTTCCATTTTGTGACTGTGAAGGAAGCTCCCGGGGCCAGCCCCTCCTCTCAGTGCTATGCATTTTACTCCCTCTTGCCATGAATTTGGTTTATCCTCTACCTCTCCTCCCCACCATCATTTCCCCTTCCCCTCAGGAGATTGTTCCCATTAGCCTACAAGCATATTCCAGTGTCCGTCTGTAGCCATTTCTCAGCTCTCTCTTATAGCCACACTTTTTTTTTTTATGACATTGCTTTTAAATATTGTCTGTATTTTCTAAACTCTATTTTTTGGCCCGCAAGGGCATGACTTCCCCAGTACCATCACTGACAGTGCCCCGTTAAGGTTGCCAGGCACTTCCATATTATGTAATCCAAAAGTATTCTTCCCTGGCTAGTCTTGGTTGTTTAAATATCTTCCTATCTAAGTCGGTATTCTTTCGTAGCTTTCTTTCTGCATCTCTAATCACTCTGCAGTTTTGCATTCCATTTTCTGCCTCATTTTGGAAGTTTCTTGCCCTATCCTGATCCCTCTTTTCTTTCTGCAATCTTTCCTAGGTATTTTACCAATTTCATATATTAAAGAATCAATGTTATGCTTAACTGGCTTTCCCCCCTTCCCCCCTCCCCTCCCTTTTCTCTTTCCTTCTCTTCTCCTTCTCCACCTCTTCTTCCTCCTCCTCCTCCTCCTCCTTCTCCTCCTTTTTAAGTGTTTACAGTGCTGGGAATTGAACCTACAGCCTCATATGCATTGCTCAAGTGCACTACCACCAACTTATATTACCAGTCCATAAACCGACTTTCTAAATTTATGTTTCTCACCTAGACCATTCCTCTAAGTTTCAGTTTTACATGACTGATTGCTTAATTTTGTCCTTTGGTTCACTTGGGTCTTTGAGAAACTGAACGTTTTCAAAATCGAATGCTTTATTTTTACCCCACACCTCATCTGCCCTATTGTAATAAATGGCATTCGACCAGTTTTTCCAGTCAGAAACACGGGAGCCAACTTTGCTGCTTTTTATGACTTGTTTCTTTCAGAAAGTGTACCAACTTCCAATTTATTAGTTTTATCACTCAAATATGTTATTTTGAGACAAGATCTCTCTCTCTACCTCTGGCTGGCCCAGAACTCACTATGTAGAGTAGGTTGGCTTCAGATTTGTGGCACTCTTCCTGCTTTTCTTCCTAAGCACTGGAATTAGAAGTGTGCCCCACCATGCCTGGCTCACACCTGTCTTTAATCTGTTTCCTCCCAAATTAAATACTGTCACTTAGGCCTGTCCAAGTTTTTTCTCACTTTACTCTTGTGATCAGCCCTTCCTGATTGATGTCTCTACTACCATTCTTGACCTACTTCCATACATTTTTGATAATCTGGTGATAGTGACCTTCCTCATAAATTAAGTCAACTGTTGCTGATAGAATAAAATCTAAATGTTTACTCTGGCTCGTGAAGCCTAGCCCTCCGACTCTTGTCCATTTCTCCATCCTCTTCCATGCCCCTCCCTATTGTTCACCATAATGTGGCCATACAGCTTCCACCAACATACCAAGCAAGATCTGTTCTGTACCTCAGGGGTAGTAACTAGGCTGCAATTTCTAAGCTGCTTTCATGGCCACCCTCCCCTCCACCGCAGTATCTTTAGATAGGTGCTTGGATATACAAAGTTTTGAGCAACACCTACCCAGAGCACCAAATTGAAGTAGTTGTGGCCTCCCTCTCATTCTCTCAGTCCTTATTTGTAACCTTATTTATTGTTTTATTCTATTTTTTTCTATTGTCCACACTGGAATGTATGAAGGAAGAGACTGTGTGGATGTCGAGATTCTTCAACACTGCATTCTCTGCCCATAGCACAGTATTTGGTGTATATTAGGTGCACAATAAATATCTGTTGAAGGAATAAATGAATACATATGCTAATTTTTCTGTTTGGGGTTTACTTTTTATTGATTAGTAAGAGCTGTCTATATATGAAAACCACTAACCATTTGTTTATTCTGTATGCTGCAGACATTTTGCCCCTTTTCAGATATATTCCAGTTTAACTCATGATGTCTATGATATACAGGAACGTTGTATTTTTCACTTCAGTAAATATCTCTTATGAATTCTGCATTTGGTGATATGTTTTAGAAGATCTCCATGTTAATTTTACATACATATCTGTTGTTTCCTTTTATTTTCATTTTTTAGATTTAAATATTGACTCCAAATTGAGCTTATTTTTGATATAGGAGGTGATTAAGGACCTAAATATTTATTTAGTTGTTGCACCATCATTTATTGAAAACTCCCTTTTGTACTGTTTGAATGTTGTACATTTATAAAACATTAAATTCTTACACTTGGAGTGGTTCCTAGGGTTATTGCTTGTTGGTTTTCTTCCAGTACCTCCTGTTCCCGAGCCCTGTTATTTTAACCATTGCCATATTATTGCTTGCTGTACTGTGTGTTTACAGTGAGGTAAATGTTACTCTTACTTTTAAAAATGTTTTTGACTACATTTTGGTGTTTATGCTTCCAGATATGCTTTAGTTATATTTTGGTAAAGTCCAAAAGAAAGTCTACTGTCATTTCGTTTAGTTACTTTAAGATTATAGATGAATTTGGAAGTGGTTGTTAATGTCATATGATTGTTTCCTATTCATGAACCTGTAATGTGTCAAGGTGACTGAAGACTAACTTTTTCTGTGCTGCATGAAAATTTCTTACTAGTTCTATTGTTAGATATTTTATGTCTTTGTTGCTATTTGACTGTGATTCTTTTTCCACTTTTTAAACTTTTGTAAACAGTTGTTCCGTGTAGGGTGAAGCGATTGATTTTGTATTTCACAACTTCTTTGAGCTCGCAGTAATTCTTGTGACTCTCCTAAATAACCAGTGTGTTAAGCATAATTAATGATGATTTTGTGCTTTCTCTTATAATATTTATACCTCACTAAATAAATGATGGTAATAATTTTGCTCTTATCCTGACTTTTTAGGAATGCCATCAGTATTTTGCCAGTTTTTAATGTTGATCTTGAACTGAACTATAGGCAAAGTCTTTTTCTGGTTCAAATATAGCAAATGTTTTATTAGAAGTTCTTTTTGACTTCTATTAAACAGGCAACTAGAGATACCACATGATTTTGCTCTTGTGGCTTATTACCACAATAGATTAACAGCTTTCCTAATATTGGGTTATTTTTGCATAAGATGCATTCTGTAATCATGCTGAGCTTTTCCACCTCTTAAGTATGATAATGTTGAACTCAACTCCTCACACTTAATTGGGATTATTCCTTTTGTATTCATGAAAAATGTTAGATTACAATCTTATATTTTTGTATTCTACTTTCCTAGCTTCAAAAAATGAATTTTCTATATTGTTTTATGCTATAAATTAGTACATGCTGTAGGAATCGTCTATTCTTGAATGGCTTTAAGGAACTCACCCATAACACTGTTTATAAGATCTTATAAACACGGTTTATAAGATAAAAGATATAAGATAGTTGTCTGAAAAATTTGAAAATGTCTATCGTTTGGCCTAGACAGGTAACCATACTTCTTGAATATCAACTTTAAAATTATATTTTTAAAGAAAGTCATGCATTTTCATAGAATTTTAGATTTGTTAGATTTCTACACATATTTATCTTATAATTAAAATATTTTTCTCTGCATTTGTGGTTGTAGCTCCTTTCTTAAGTCTAAACATTTTAGTTTTTAGTTTTATTTTTCCTTTTATTATACTTCCTAGTCTTTTTTTAAGGAACCAGCACTTAGATATTTTATGAATTCTGCTTTTCCTGTTGTAAATATCAATAAAACTACTCATCTAATTCCTCATTTTTCATTGTTGCTTTATGAATGTTTCTTTGTAATTGATGACTTAGTTCATTTACTTTTATTTCTTATTTAATAATAGGACACATAAGACTATAAATTTACCTCTGGGCACAGCTTTGACTGTATCTCAAAACGTTTTGGTATGTAGCTTCTTAATGTTATAGTTGCTGTCTCTATTTCATTTTTAACTGGTGTAATTTACGATAGTGTTGTAAGTTCTGTTAATTCTGCTTTCTTTAATAAATAGTTTATTAATATTTATGTTGCTATTTTAATAAAGAGCCGATTTTATTTGTAAAAAGTGAAAATAACTGTGAAATGATTTTATCTGACATTGCATACAAGCACTGCCATCAAGTTCTTCCTTACAAGATCCCACCAACAGTGCCAGCTAGTGTTAGCTCTCCTAATCACTGATGGAGCAGAGATATTTTCACTGTCTTATTTACCACATGAAAGTCAAGAAATAGCTTCAAAAACGTTTATGGTATCAGTCATCATCAAGTAATATGAAACTTAAAAAATCGTCTCATAATCAGAAAAAGTCCATCATAATTTATGAATTAAAGAAGGATTTACTTGTTAACATGGACATTGCCTCAAATTTTTGGTGTTAGAAAAGTTTCTTTTTGACTTAGAAAAAGTAGTTTTACAAATGTTTATTTTATTTTTATTTATTTTTGGGGGTTTAAGTACTCTTATTTATTTTTGCTTAGAAATAGTTCTTACAATTTTTTTTTTAGTTTTTAGAAGAAGCATTTCATTACAGCTTTAATGTGCTCAATAACAATTTCCAGAGCAAAGATACATCTCTTTCAAAAGTGGCTATAAAATTTTTAGGTTCACAGTTGAATTAATACAGTTCTACAAAATTGAACTCAGTATAAACCCTGTAAGACAAAATTGAATGAGTTTTTAACCTTTAAAAAAGATCTCCATTTCATTTTAAAATATACTGTTGCTTTCAGAAAGACTCATTGTTTTTGCTAATAACACTTAGATGTTGGCACATGTGTCTGTAATCTGTATGTATCTGATTATTACTAATCATGGTTGATTGCACTCCGATCCTTGGCACCTGTGTATGGATATAAAATCATCAGGTAGATTTCAATGGTAATGTTATCACCTCTACTAATTAACATGACATAAATTTTTATGCTTCCTCCTCAAATATAACTCATTTTTTAAATTTGTTAATTTTTTTTTGTGTGTATCACACAGAACATCCCAAACAATCTTATTCATCTATACACCCACTTCCCATATGGCACCCTCCCATAGCCCCCCACTAGAGCCCTTATTCTCTGTCATCCCTGCTACTGTCTGCTGTGTTGTCATCACCCCCAGCCTTTCCCCAGTGCTTGTCCATCTGCTGAATCTAGTCAGCCTATCTAGAGATCTTTGTTTTAGGAAGGTCAGCTGTTCCTCATCTAGCAGCAATCAGTTGTCAATATTCCTTTAGATAAGATTGGGGTCTGCTGTTCATTTTCTCAGTTCTATGCTGGGTTACTGTCTGGGAGTCTCTTGGGCCACCCCAGCCAACAACTCAAAAGAAGGTATCTCCTGTCTGGCATTGTTTCTTGTTATGTAGCCTTTAGCTATACATATGGACTCTTAAAATCCCCCATTATATTGACCCCTTTAATCTTTGGTTATACTTTCCTTTTGGGTGTTTAAGGCCATATGGTTGGCACGGATAAATCAATTTATTTTTACTCTTAAGGCCAACTGCTCCTCAGGGGACACATGGGCTTGGGAGGAGCTCCTGGCTCCTTTCTTTTACCAGTTCCATCTATGTGAAGATAAGCCAAAGGTCCCACTTGACCATGGCTGGCTTCGTTTGGAAGCATGGAGGAAATGTTTCCTCTGTGTTGACCCTCCTCTTTGTAGACTGGACGCTGGTTCAGGTCCATCTTGTGGGGTCCCAGTGGCCTCCTTGATCAAGAGCACAGGTGACTCAACCACAGTTACAGGATATTTTGAGAGATGCTCATAGTCCCCTGGAACTAGTTGACCTATGTGGGAAAGGAGCAAAAACTGTCCTTTATGTCCCTCTGAACAAATTAGTATAGGCCTCAAAGTATGTAGTTAAATATCCAAGAAGATTAGCTCCACCAGTCTGGTACTTACACTCATCCACTGCTGGTGGGGCTGCAAACTTGTTCAACCCCTATGGAAGGCCGTATGGAGAACTCTTAAAAAACTACAAATGAACCTACCATTTGACCCAGTTATACCACTCCTTGGCATATACCCAAAGAACTTG